CTCAAAGTACCTAATACAATTGCTTCTATGAAAGCTAAAAGGTACAACTTTAAACCACCTACTTCAATTGAACTAGAATAAGAAATAATACAATTGAACTGGTTCTTCTATCTCGTTCAAGTAGCTTCAGGAGTGCACACTCAAATCTCACATAAATTGCTTGCAAAATCGCCTTGCTCTTTTGCTTTCAATTTAGTTTAACTTCTGCGTTTGTGCAATGCCTGTAAAAGAGAACAATCACTGTCATTTAATAGGTTAGAAATCAGAGTTTGATTGGGAATCAATATCTGATTTTCTATCGTAGTTGAGTTCTTGAAGATATCAAACTCTAACACTCTCTTTATCCGGATTGTGTTCTCTTCATATAAGGAGACTTTCTCCCCTTATCTAATATGCAACCTTTTCGATCATATCAGGAGATATTGCTGCTTGATCAGTAAGACTTATCTCCTTCACGTGCATCTCACATGTGTAGGTTGATCATGACAGTGCTTCACAAGATGGACCTGGTCCATGACTAAGTTCATTTGTCATTCTTCAAAAATTCACCTGTTCTTGGGCCAACAACATCTCCACTCAGTTACCTCGCCATGGCCGTTCATCAACTTTCGTAGAAATTCAAACAATTAGGTAATAAACTTCAGTAATGGTATTCCATTTTCATTTTAAATTAAGGCGACGTATCATTTTTATCAAAACTTGAAAAAGAAAAGAACATTTTTCTTTCCCATTACTGCTAATATTACCTTTTAATCAGTTTTCATCTTGCTCGTGGTTTAAAATAATCCATCTATAAGAATTGGAAATGTATCTAGTATTGATTTGCAACATTAAATTTCAAGCTTTGTATTTCCCAACCTCAAAGCTGTAGGCTTTTGCTTTGAAAATTCAGAACAGCCGAAAAGCTTTTGCGCCTTTGCAATCTCATTTTTCTATTGGCTTCAAGTTGAAATTTTAGAGCAACGTTAGTCCCTTTGATACACGACTTGAAATTTTGGACTTAATTCAATAGTATTATAACCCTGCTTTCATTTCTTTGTATAAAGGAAAAATTCTTGTATTACTCCTCTATCTTGACTTTTACGCGACCTAGTTTGGTAACAAAATTGAAATACTATGACAAGTCTAAAACTAGTACAGTTAACCTAAATTTTATCAGTGATAATGTGGTGAACCTAACGGCAATAATTCATGGAAAATATTTACCCACGCCCAAAGTTAACACCAAATCACTTGCATACCTTGATTAAGTGATAAATTGAAGTAAAAACTGAATATACACTAATTAGCCATAGTTAAAGATTTATGACTGCATGAGTAGTTTATCAAAAACTTAATATAAAACAACATTTCTCATATCCTGAGAGAGAACTACTAGCAGCCAAGTTACACAAAGCTCACTCCTGGAAGATAATCAGGAAATTGGTGGAAGATCTTGGGCAACCTAACAATTTCTCAGCCAATCGAAATAAATATCGGGATACACAGTTCATTGAACACCTCTTGCACTTTCTTCTTTTTGATATGAGAACGAACTTTTCCAAAACCGTTGCTCTCTTCAATAGAAATTCTGAAAGTTTAAACAGCTTGTCAAAGCCCCACTTGAAATGATCTTTCAAACACACCCCGGAGGAGATGACAATCTTAACTTTCTTGAGATTGGGAAACACGAAGCTGGAAATCCGACTCTGCAAATCAATATTATCCCCTCTAGCCAGATATTTTAACTCATACTTGCAGCGGGGTTTATCTGACTGAAGACACATGATATAATCAGTACCAAATGCAGGTCAGCCTAAAGAAACTGCACAATTGTGACAAGAAATGATTTCACAATATAAGTGTCTATTAGGGAAATTTTGTAGAACCAACAAATCTTAATGGTACTTGGAAAATGATTACGATGGCTTTCCTAACATAAAGATTCATGGCGTGCAGTAAAGAGGTGATAGCACAAGAATCAGTTTCCTTTTGGAGTTCGTTTGCCACAATGAAAGCAACACCACCAACAATAATAATGTGAAGCTTTTTAATGACATCAGCAAAGCTTCTTACTGAAAATTGAGGATATATTTGCATTAACCTTCAGCAANGTTAAAACGTCATAAGATGAATAGATGTGAAAAGAAGAGAAAAAGTTCCAAGAAGTTACATCAGCAGCATCCATGCCTATGTTGAGTGTCTCCACATAAGGCGAGGCTCGCAAAAAGCCAGCTACTCCATACAAGTTAAACTTTTTCGTATGCAACTCTAGGGCCAGATGTTTGCATTCTGTTTCTGGAATTAGCACCCCTTTGAACTGGAACATGCACAAGACCTGGTGCAGTAATCCCAACCAAACTAGTAAAGAATGAATAAAAGCAATAACAACAAAAAAGAATGCATTCCACAGTCCACATCAGAGTGAATCGAACCATCTAACACTCTAAGCAACATCAATGTACTAAAATCCTGGTTTGTACAAAACAATCAGAGAAAATAAAGACTTTTGAGTTAAAAACAAACCTCTGTGAACCAAGTTCCGATTGTTAGCTCCGTTGCACAACTCACCTTTTGAAGATTATCTTGTACGAGGGTCCTAAGAAGTTGAGGATAATCACGGCAACTGTCTTCCTATTTATTAAAATCTTCATAAATTTCAAACCGGATGTCTTTGATACACTTAAGGTTGAAAGTGAGGCAGGCATTAACCAAGGAGGACACATCTACTAGCCTGCACTTGAGATCATAAAGATCTCCGGAAATCTCCAAATGCTGAAGATACGGAGCAATAATTTCCAAGGAATGATCACTTCTATTATTAGCCATCCAATAACCTTTCAAATTCAGTCTCTTTAATTTTAAGGAATTAATTTCTAGGCGACTAAAACCCGCAACCAAAGATAATTCTAAAGTTTCCAAAGCAGGACAGCCAGACAGTAAGTTCACACAATGATCCTCAGATAACAGAAAAAACTCCAACTTAACGCTCTTTAAAGACTTCCACGCTAAGATCGCATCACGACTAAAGCAACAAAATATAAAATCTAAAGTTATCAACGACGAATATGTACCGACAGATTCAGGCCAAAGTGCAAGTGCTATCATCATCTGACCAGAATACAACATTTTCTACTTTTTTCTCAACAACAAAACTAAGAGATCGACTGATTTGCGACAGGTGTTCATCCAGGATACTACTATCCAACCAGCTTACATACCTTTCACTGCAGTCGAGCTCCAATGTTTTTATTTTGGGAGAAAGGGAATGGGCAAAGGATACCAGGTTTTCTGCTTTAAGGGAAAATTTTCTGAAACTAGTGGTATGATGTAACTTTTTTGTCACATGGTTTTTTGGACTGTGGACCCAGAAGTGTAAGATTGAGGTCCACAAATTTGTGAGACAAAAAAGAGTATCAGTTGTATGAGACAAAATAAAACTTCTCTGGGAGTAACTCTTTTTCATAAATACTAACATTTTTGGAATTATCCGAGAGAAATGAAATATTCCGACCGTTCCCTTTTAGTTATCTACTGCTAACCTTGCACACCTTTAAAAAATAATAAATAAAGTATATAATTTATCATGATATCCATATTAATTGATGCATATTTTTATAAATTTAAGAAAATAATTTTAAATGAGTAATTAATACTATGAGTATAACAGGGAAAAAAAAATTATCTTCTCTTGATATGCTAAAAGTGACAAGTAAAATTGAAAATCTTTTTTTAGAATATTGGACAAGTAAAATAAATTGGGGAAGTACAAAGGGCATGTTCGGATTGACTTACTAAAAGTAGCTTTTCAGCAGAAATTGTTTTTAAGCAAAAAAGTAATAAGTTGGGGTTTCCCAGCTTATTGCTTTTGACTTGTTTTAACAGTTTTTAATTTTGCTAAACAATAAAAAAGCTAAAAAAAGTTTAAAAGCTGATTTGACTAGCTTAAAAGCCAATTCAAATACCCTCGAAATAAGGTTTTAATTTTTATCTACTTAAAAATTATTACTATTTACTATACATTATTATGAGGTTATTTAAGAGACAAAAGTAGGTAAGTTAGCAACATAAAAAAGAGAGCACTAATAGTAAATAATATACTAAAATTAGTTAAATGTAAAAGCAATTAAGTATAGTGGTAGAAAATTAAAGGATAAGGTGTTAAATAAGTTGAACGTCAAGATAAATTGTTTAAATAAACAATACTCACTTTGATCCACAATAAGTGATTAATTTGTTTTTTTATTTTGGTTCAAAAGAAGTGTTCATTTATATAATCAAGAATAAATTCAATTTGTTTTTCTAAATTTACCCTTATGTACGTATTCCTAAAAATTCTTTTACTCCTCACATTAAATTATGCTGCAATATTTTGATTAAGGGTAATTAGTCACACTAACTATTTTTGTCTAAAATTTAATATTTTCTTAATGAATATGTCCAAAGCAAATTGATCACTTATTATTGGTATATTATTTGACCAAAAGCATTTAATGAACAGAACTTCTTAATCAATGTCACAACTATGAGTGGTCCGTCTTGTTGAACGGAAATACTGTAACATGAAAAGAGAAAACAATTTTCAATAAGCAAGAGAAGCAAAATTTAGTCTTTCTTTACAAAGAAAAAGTTTTTCTTTCTTTGTATTGGGCCACAAAATGTGTATAACTAACCTGCTTTATACAGGACAATTAGGGGTCTTTTGGTATCAAATTATGTAGAGTCAGTTTCACATTATAAATACTCGGCTCTCTGTATTCATATAAAATAGTTGGCTATTAGTATTTAGTTAAATGCGTATTTTGAGTGCATCATACCATGCACCATTATATTTAACACCAAAGGAAGTGTGACATCAGTAATCATCCATTGATTAAATTGAAAGTACAAGAAGGGGTGAATTGTTTATTTTTAAACTTAATCGCTGTTAGTTGACTAGTTTTTTAATTAGTCGACTAGATGTAATAAACTAACAGTAGTAACAACAGGATATAAGATGCTAAAATTAAATGCAGGAATTAAAGACACCAGAATTTTTATACTGGTTCGGATTCAATGTGAATCCTAGTCCAGTCCCCTTGAGTTGCAAGGGAGTTCTCTTTAGTGAATGAGTTTCTTCGAGTACAAGGAGAATGATGTGATTGCTCAGTTCCTATATCACTCGTCTCTTTGATACAATGCCTCACCAGTGTTGTTCTCTCTTTCTTCTCTAACTTGTTACACAGCAGGTCTTAGAGAGCTACAATGTTTGTTTGCAGTAGAACATAGAGAGGGTGTTTGGTTCGATCAAAGTATATTTTGCTAAGGTGTGATTATATGTTTAAATACTTTGAGATTTAGGAAAGATTTGCCAACCCAAGAGATTTGATCCTTGGAAAGTGATTGATTCTTTCCAAGAATAAAGCTGTTCTGCAACGACTCTTTTGAACTCGGAATCTTGATCATCCATATTTAGACACTTGATGGAATATTCAGCGAGATCTTGATTTATTTGATTTCTTTAGTTTAGCCTTGATTGATCCCGTGAGTATCTTCTGATTGATTTCTTCTTCCTTTAATCACGCCTTTTTTTCTTGATGTCTTCTGATATATTCCGCCAATCTTGTGTATCAATCCATACGTTCCTTGATAATTGTTGATTGATTTCGTCAAACTTGACAGCTATCCAAGAGTTCCTATACAAAGAGCAAATATATTATTTTCATCATTAAAATTAGATCTAACAATCTCCACCTTTTTGATGATGACAAAATAATATATGTATAAACATCACTTAACTTCCCTGTAGTTTTCTCCCCCTCAATAGGAGCAGTAAGTAGCTTGAGACGCATGCAGTCGACTTCTTCAGGATCTGTGACTCCCCATCAAGGAATGCCATAGTCAATTTGTTATGTACCTGCACAAAATACATATATCCTTTCTCCCTCTTTTTGACATCAGCAAAGAGGGAATAGAAAAACGGCATGCATAAACAGAATCCATAGCAGAATGTACTGGTAGAGTTAGAACATAACAAAAGAAAAAGAAAAGAAAAAATATCCACCGATTGATATCTCAGTGCAAAAATAGCACAATAAAAAAAAATATTGTCTTTAAACTTCCACAATAACGACGTAGAAAATAGGTAAGAGTGTTGTAGATGGACTCATTTAGTCGATCAAAGCTGGCATTGGCATAGACACTTATTCCATCAAACCTGTCATGAACCTCCTTGAAAGCCTTGACAGCGTTTTCCCTTACTCTGAGAACTGCAACACGTATCTTGGAGACATCAGACCCTGTTTCCTTGGAGATATCATGAATGGTACCAACAGTGGACTGGGTGGCAATGAGAAGATCCTTGATTGCAAATAGCTGATTCCCAATGGCGCTAATTTTCTCAGCAAGGTCAGAGTCACTAAGGCTAGTATGGGAAGCAGAAAGGTTGGGTTTGGAGTCTGTATGAGCAGTCTTGACATCACTTTCTTGTTTCTTGACCCATGAACCCTTCACACACACACATACCCCATGCTTGCAAAGGCTCTGAAGTTGTATAATTTTGAAACCGTGGTAAAGGAGTACGCAGAGATGGAAATATTGTGAGCTTCCAGAATTTGGGTGATGGCCATTCTATAGGGTAGACTAGTGGGATCTTCTGCACTTTCAATCATGAAATTGATGACCCAGGAAGACAGTTTGAATTTGAGTTTGGTCACAAGGCAATAGATCAAAAAAGTGTCTCGTAGAGAGAATGTGGAGAAAGAGCTAGTGCGAGGAAGCAGAGTAGTTGCCACAATGTGGGCTAGAACACGAGTTACAAAACTAACATCACGAGGACCTAGCTGGTTTGAAAGGGATTCAGATGAACACTCAGCAAGACATTTTTTGGCTTGATCAAAGGAAATTTCAAAATCATCGGGCCGGGAATTTTTAAAGAGCATAGGGAAACTAGAACACTTGTACTGAAAAATCGAGTCAAACATGGAACAGTCAAGAACAATACACTTTCCTAGTACTAAAGGACTCCAACTTATAAGACCTACTAGAACGAAGATTCGCATAGAACATTCTCACTAGGGGTTCATAAACTTTAGGCGGGGGAACAGAAAAGAACTTTGACCATCCTTGATAAACGAAAAGGTCCTTTACCTTATAATTTAGGGCTTCCATGTCATCAAGGTTGGCTACCTTCCCATGAGCAATAGGTAGGGCAAGAAAGAAGTCCCTATTAGGAGAATCCTAGAAATTGAGTTCCGACTCAAGAGAACCGGAAAAATCAACTTTTGATTTCTTTGGAGTGGAGGAGACATAGGGTTCTTCCATGGGTCATTTACCTAGGGCTATCTCTCCTAAGGGTTGAGAATGATCAAAGAAATCCTCCTGAGAAGAGGCAAACCCCTCAGAGTGATTGGACCCTAGGTCTACCTATTCAGGGGGCAGAGAACGGGGTTTTCCCTTGGAGCGGGTTCTCGTGGAGGCAGATGGATTTTTGGATTGTTTAGCCATTGTAGGAAGTTGGCGATTGAACAAGATTTCGGAGAAGGGTATGAAGGCGATAGAGACGATGGAGATTGATATGAGAAGACAACATAAAAAGGGGTTTTCTAAAAAGGAGGTGATTTGGACTGGTTTTGTATCAAAATTCGTAGTTAAATCGAGTTCAAAAAATTCTTCTGCGACACATGTATCAAATATGTATCACACACGTATCTCACACAT